GCCGGGGTCTGCTCGGCCTCCCCCGGCCCTTTATACCTCATGCCATCCCCTCACCCGGCCGCGTCTCGCTGCCGCCACTCGTGTCCCCTGGCGTTGACTAAGCCAGGGAATCTGAGGGGGCAAAGGCAGGAGCCAGCCCTAGTGTTTTTTCTGCTGCCCCTGCGAACCCCCACGGCGCTCCCTGGGCACCGCAAGTCTCCTTGGTTTGTCAGCAGGCTGATGAAACTCTCACCCAAGTAGCGGTAGTAAGGATGTCCTTACGGCCTCATCCTTCTGCTAGAGGAGTAGCAGCCACAGATCCTTCTGCAGGAGAGAATAGGTGGTTTATGAAAATATCCAAAGCTGTTAGTGCTTCAGATTGTGGATAAAGTATATTTAACAACTGATACTTCTGTAACTGCTAGTTGTTGGGGTTTAGTCCTTTAGGAACCCACATAACTTTTACATGATGGTGTTAAATTATGAAAAGTTTGTAGAGCTCCAAAATAAAGGAAATGAAACCATGTGGACATGCTAACATCAATTATTGTGTTACATAGTCACTTGAAAGAGCAGAAGTATCAAATCACTTTTATTACTGTTGTGTGTGTGAATCTGGATTTTGCAGCTAATTACTTTGTGGTCATGCTGAATAGAAAATGGAGTGGGAAGTGAGTAGGGTGTAGTAGGAAGTAGAGTGACTGGGCAGGGCATGTGAAATTGTGTGTTAGGACCACTGAAAACTTTCATTCGGATATCATTTCAGTAACTGTGGTACATCAATAACCTTTTTACTGTAAAGAGGTGGGTTAGTGAATTGTGATGGAAAATTAAACTTTGATCTAAATTTTTTCGGGTGAGTTGGTATAACACTGCCAAAGACCCAGAGGTAGTTGTACTACAGCCACACTGTATGAGAAAGAATAGAAACAGCAAAAGGAGGCTATCAAATCAAGTCTATTGCTCATGCTGTTTATGTATTTGAGGGCTCTCAAATAGGCAACTCATATTGGAAATAAGATAAATATTTATATGTAAAAAATAAAGTGCTTTTCTCTGGTTTAAAAATTACAGGCATTTTACTGTGTTTCTTTTACTTTGTAATCAGTTAACTGAGTTCTTAACTTAGTTACAAACGTAATATAAAGTTCTGAAAACCTCCAGTCTTTCTTAGTTGTGAGTGGCCTCTCTCGAAAAGTTTGTCTAAAGTAGCAAGGCCTCCTGTTCCACTAACTTCATAGTGCAACCTACTTATTGTTTAGTTTAAAGGACAGATTCTTAAATGTTAAAAACTTTCATAGCACTATTTGAGTTCAGAAAGTCTGTGGCCTTTTATGTTGCTCACAGGTGGATGAATTAAGTTAAACCCCAGCATGATTTAAATAATCATAATCTGTATTTAAGTGAGTGAATAAGGACTTCTAAATTAGCAGACAGGTGAGAAACCTCAATAAATCCTTTTAAAGTTGGATAAATAAAACCTTTTAAATGTTTTAAACATTTCTTTTTGTGTGTACAATGATTACTTACAGAGGGACAGTGATCTCAAAGGTATTAAGTTTCTTTAAGCTTTATAGAAGATTTTTTGCTATTTATTTCTTTGCTGGTCTCCTGCAAAAGCAGAGAATTAAGTGGAAAATTATCATATATAAAAGCAACGCATTATAGTGGTGATGGTGTGATGAAAACTGCAGACCACAGAAAAGTGGCAGATGGACCTTTTTGGGCACTAGAGAATCATCTTTAAATATTTGCTGCATGCTTTTTGCCTCAGCTTTGAAAGAAATCTCAAACTACCTTATCTGATATTGTCTATTGGTTATGCTGGTTTTACGCTATTAACATCATTAGCGTTCTTTCTTTATTTGCTGATATGTACCTAAATATTGTCTAAACCTAGAACATAATCAAATATATTTTAGGGATTTTAAATAGGTTACTGTTTGAGACTATAATACAGCACTCTCTTCTTATCCATATTCTTCCTTCCAGCTTACCCTCACACAAGTTCTGTTGAGTATCTTAGGCTTTGTTAAAACTTCACTCAAGAAAATCAGCTTTTGTTTTAATTTCTCATCTGACTTTCTGCAGTAGTAAATATTTGTACATTTTTGCCTTTTTTAAGGATTAGAAGAAAATGAAACTTAAAGGGCACTTTTGTTACAAAGGCTGCCTTCTTGGTACTTCTGATCGACTTTAGATGAAGTTTACCAGTCTACTACATTCTTCTAAAAAATCTAAGTTTGAAAAGACAAGATTTTAGACATGTAGAATAATTAAAAATTAAAATATACTATTAAAATGCTGCTTCCATATAATAAATTAGCAAAAAATGGGCATCATGTTAGTGTTTTTTTCCACCAGTACAGCTCATCATTCAAATATTTATTAGCATAATCTTTAGTAACTTTTACCAAGTCTAAATTTGAGAATAAGTGTAGCCTAGTGACGTCACTTTGAATATAGTCATCATCTTTCAATGAACTAGTTAAAAATATTCAGTGGATTAAAATTCCTCATTTGCTCTAGTGGTCTCAAACAATATGTTTTGGGTTTTTTTGGTTTGTTTTTTTTTTTCAGTTTATTTAGCAGCAGACAAGCAGTTAAGGGCAGTAACTTTGCAAATGAGGGTGGAAGAAATATAACCTATTTAACTAGGGAGAAGTCTAGTGAAACAATGTCCATGTATACTCTGATTATTTTCATTATCTTTTTTCTTCAGTGCTACATGCAAATATTTCATATGGCAATCAACTTACACATACAGGCTGCAAGATTTTTAAATACTAAGTGACAGTTGATTGAAAAATACTGCCAGCATTTTTTGAGATGCATACAATTACTAAACCAGAAGCTTCCTTGGTTCACTTGAAATGCACAGTAATCTATTTTTAACTTCTAGTTTTTAAAAGACCAACAAAAATGTGTTGTGGCTATGTCAGATCCCTGGTGATGAAAAAAGGAAAGAAAAGGATTACATTTGTCACAGTATTTTTAGATTCACTGCTTGCCCATGTTATTTATCCCCTGAAATGTTCTTCCAGCTGAGTTTGGGTGGCTCAAGTGAGGGGAAAATACTGTATTTACTGTTTGCTGTGTGAATGGGCTCTGTGAGTGGTTCTGCAGAAAAAGGATCTGGGGGTCCTGATGGACAGAAACTTGAATGTAGGTCATCAGGGTGCTCTTCAGGTGGTTATGGTTAACTGCATACTGGTTATGTGTATCATGAAGACCACAGCTAGTAGGTGTAAGGAAGACTTCTCCCCTACTCAACACTTGTGAGGCCCTGTCTGCAGTACTATGTCTGGTTTTGAGGCCCTCGGTACTAAAGAGATTCTAGAGTGAGGCACTGAGATGGCTATGGGGCCGGAGCCCTGATGTACGTGGGAAGGAGGCTAAAGGGCTGTTTGGACTAGAGAAAAGAAAACTAAGAGGGGATCTAACTGCTGTCTTCAAGTGTCTGAAAAGGATCTGTGGAAAAGATGGAGCCAAATTCTTCTCCGAGACGTACGGTGAGGGAACAGAAGGTATGGCCCTAACTGTCAGCGAGGGAAATTATGACACTATAAGGAAAACATTTTTAATTGAGAGTTGTCAAACCCAAGAACCAGATTGGCCAGAAAAACTCCAGAGATATTAAAACCTCACCTACATAAGTGCCTGCCCAGGACTTTGAAGTTAGATATAATAGAGCAGGAGGTTGAACCTAATGACATCAATATGATGCATTGATTACTTTCCAAAAGTGATTTGACTCTGTGTACCTGTTAGACTTAAAATTGGTCTTCCAATGATGGTCCAATCTTGAAGGGACGCACTGTTATCCACCATAGGCACTGACCTCAAAATCGGTTAGCATGTGCGCACAGAGCTGGATAACCCAGCAGAAGTCTAACCTTCAGGCCTCTTACAGGTCCAGTCAGGTCAGGCACGCTGTAAGTATACACATTAGGGCTAAATCAAATTAATGTTTACATTACAAAAGTCAGTGGTACTTGCCATATATACCGCGATCCTTTCCTTTGAAAAACTATTAATTGTTAAATTTTTACTTTTCCCTGCAAATTGATTACTTAGTCTTTTGCTGTCTTTTCTGTTCTAGAGAAGAACCAAAGAAGATACTTGGAAATCTGAAGAACTTAGGAAACATCTTAGGGTGACTATTTTATTTCTATTAGTTTTGACGTTAAGTTACCTTACAGAAGTGGAATTTATTGATGGTCTAAACGTAGAGGATTGACTGCCTGGTTTACTAGCCACTTGGCAGTGTGAGATCTATAATCACTCTTTAAGGCTTTTTGGTACACCAGACACTTTTTAAATCTTCATCATTGAATGCAGACTGTACAGATCTTTAATGTGTAGCTGCTAACTTCCTTGCCACAACTGACTGTTCTGGAATAGGTCTAGTCCAAGTGTGTCCAGAGGCTGGTCCACTCAACTGTTTCTAGCTACACAAGTCATATAAGATTACAGATTTCTTAATTAGGTAAATGGGGAAAAATACCATTGTTATGGTAATCACATAGTACACAATGGGGTCTCACTTGCTGGCCACCCAAATCCAAGTTACAGCTCTGCTTTATATATACTTACTCACTTTCCTACATGTGTATTATGTATTGTATTTGTTATCATCATCTATCGTGTTTCTCATGCACTTTTAAACGGGTTAATTACTTTATCCTCTGGTCAAATAGGCATTCAGGCTCCAGTCAGTTACACCATTGATAGTCATATTAGTTTTGTGCTGTATTTTTTTAAAATGTTTTCCAATATGTATCTTTTCTATGTCTTGTGCAGATCTTCATTAGTCCTTTGATAATTTAAAGCATCCTACTTGTTAATCTATTACCTAGTTCTCTATCAAAGCTCCCCACTATTTCAGTGCGAGTGCTACAGTATAAGTACTTTGCATTTTTAAGCCATTCAGTAACATTTCCACTATTTCCATGTGGGCTAAAGCAAACAAGTTTGAGTTGAAATGTTTTAGTTCCAACAGAAGTGGTGTGGTTGGACTTTCATTTTTGTGAAACAGATGGATAAAGTTTAATTCACTTTATTCATTGACTATAATCAAAGCAAGTTCTGCTTGTTCTGCATTGAGTAAATAGCTGAAATCATGGATGTAGTGAAATCAGTGGGAGGTGTGCTCTTTGCTTCAGGAAGGTTAAAATATAATCTCTTATGACTTTAGAAAAATATAAGAATAGTTGCATTCTGAAGGGATCTAGGCCAAAAACTTTCTTTTGCAGTTTTTGTATGCTATTTTCTGTTTGAGTAAAAGCTATTCTATTCTAAAGGCAGTTGTAGGATGCCTAGTTATCTATCATTTATATCAGTAACATATTTTACAAGTTGACACAGTTTCTGTCTACATGAGCTAACAGCTTTAAGATGCTTAGTTAATTTTTCAACCTAGCTCTAAACAGAATGTACAGTTCCACAGTAAACTTTTTTTTTTTAACCAAATTCTTTTCAAGTACATTGAAAATGCAGCTTATTATTTATTTCATTTATTAGGTCTTTTTACAATAAGTACAGACACAATGTTACTGTTACAAAGTAAGCCTAGAAATGTATCAGCATTTTGATACAGTTTGGGAAATTAAATTCATAGTTAGCAATCCACTATTTTTCCCCCCACATTAATATACAATATCAACATAGATTGCTGAATTATAATAATACTTTTTTTAAAAAAATTTATTTCAGGCATCACAACCAGATAGTCAAAATGAAGACCAAAAGCACAAAGAAAAGAAACTGCAGAAAGAGAGGTCTGTTTATGAGGCAGACACTTATAAACATGAACGCAAAGACAGAGGGAAGAGCAAGGAAAGAACGAAAAAGAGAGAGAGATTTAAATCTGGTGAAAGAGATAGGGATAAAATGAGAGAGAGAGAAAGGGGAAAAGAGCACCAGAGAGAAGGAGACCGAGAGAGATACAAAGATAATCTTCAAGAGTCAAGTTTGGAGAAGGAAAGATACAGTGTCCCAAAAGACAGGGAGGGCAACAGGGAACGAGACAAAAAGCATAAAAGACATGAGATAAAGCAAATAGATACACAATATAGTCTGAAATCATTTGAAGGACGAGATAAAGAACATCACAGAAGAAGAGAAAGCAGGCATCATTTGGGTAAGTTGCTTTGGGTTGCTATTGCACTTTGAAATATTTGATATTTAGATAGAAATACTCTGAAACCATACCCCCAGAGGATAAAGACAGGCAGGTCTGAGTAGCTACTGAAATGTGTATCTTCTCAGAATCTTGTGGTAACCTATTATTTTGGCACTTTTAAAAATTTTGATGCTTGTTTCCCTTCCTCTGAGGAGAGGCTGAATGTCACTGGTTTTGTCGGTCAGTTGACTTGAAGAGAGTAAGTCCCTTCCTGCCTAGACACTCTTTACTGAGTGATCCATTTGAATCATTTGAATCCCCAAGTTGCAGGGTGGTTGCTGAAGTTAGTAGCATGTGTCATCATTACTCTTACCATTACATGAGACAGTTATGAACAGAGGATTTGATTCACTAGGAAAGGAAAAGGAGTAACCAGCTTTGGAGAGAGAATTTCAACAGCATATTAAACTATTTTTGGAAAGCTCTTATGTTTTCTATAACCCATGTCACTGAATTACTGTTTTCTATACGCTAGAGTTAATTATGTACAGAGTTTGACTATAATAAAATCTGTTCATTGATTTATACATATATTTTTATTTTCTAGAGGAGGAGAAAAGAAGTGAAGAGCGAGAAAGAAGACGTACAGAAAAGAAGGTAAAGGAAGGGAAAGGAATGAAATGTCTCATAATGGAATAAGATAAAATTGTAGAATAATGAAGAAGCTGGATCAGATTCCAGTTCCCAAGAAATTCAAGAGATGCATAGATTGTAAGGTCCTCACAAGTGTACAAAACACACACCAACAAAATATATCTGAGCCATTCTATTTTAAGGACATATTTCATTCTTCTTTTAATGTGAAAGTAAAATAAAATTTGCATCGCAAACAGAGCTTTATTTTTGTACAGCTACATCAGAATTTTCCATCTGCTGTTTACATGTTTATTACAAGGATATTGGTACATATACATCCTACTTTATATTAGACCACCTAGTAAACAAAGAATTAAATTTTTGTGTGAAGAAAACATAATCCAAAGAATTTTCTATAGCAAAGTACACAATGTCCCAGAAGAAATGTCAGAATCTCAGGTGATATGATAATTTGAAACTTGCCATCGTAGGAGATTTAAAAAATCTGGCTGGAAGATCCACATGACAGAAGGAGATTAGAGACTTACAAATCCATCATTCTAATGGTCAAAAATGGATAGATTTGTGAAGATGAGACAGTCTTGGAGAACTTTCTAACTCTTTAATGTTATTTTTCTCTTTCTAGGATAAAGATACCAAAAAGAGCATTGATAAAGTTTTAGCCTACAAAGTTGAAGAAGGTGACCATGTACACAAGTTTCAGAAAGATCAAGAGTTGGATAAAGAGGGAGAAAGAAGACACAGAGAAAAAAAAGAACATTCTGTTAGGCCAGGAAAAGATAGGCTTTCAAAAGAGAGAAGTCATAAACGTTATGAAAAGGAAGAGGAAGAAAAACATAAATCAAAGAGATCTAAAGAGGGATCTTCGCATGGACACAAAGAAAGGCAACCAGCAGAAGTTAATGAGAGAGTAAAAAGTAGAGAAAATGAAAGAAAGAAGCATGATCTAAGGGTTAGTTTTGTTAAGATTTTAAAACATTACCTTATAACTTACTTTAACTGTTGATATATCATCATTGATAAGGTGACTAATAAAAATTCTAGGATTGTAAGTCAACATTTTCTGAAATTTGAGGCTGAAGTGATAGATTAAAATACTACATCTGCATTTAAGTATCCTAACCCAGAGCTGATTCATTCTATGAAATTTAAACTAGAAACTTGTCTATATCATAGAATCATAGAATGGTTTGGGTCGGAAGGGACCTTAAAGATCATCTAGTTCCAAGCCCCCTTGCCATGGGCGGGGACACCCTCCACTAGACCAGGTTGCCCAAAGCCCCATCCAGCCTGGCCTTGGACACTGCCAGGGATGGGGCATCCACAACTTCTCTGGGCAACCTGTTCCAGTGCCTCACCACCCTCATAGAGAAGAATTTCTTCCTAACATGTAATCTAAATCTACCTTTTTTTTTTTTTTTTAAGTTTAAACCCATTCCCCCTTGTCCTGTCAGTCCATGCCCTTGTAAACAGTCCCTCTCCAGCTTTTCTGTAGGCCCCTTTAGGTACTGGCAGGCTGCTCTAAGGTCTCCCCGGAGCCTTCTCTTCTCCAGACTGAACAACCCCAAATCTCTCAGCCTGTCCTCATAGGAGAGGCGCTCCAGCCCTTTGATCATCTTCATGGCCTCCTCTGGACTCGCTAAAAAACTTATTAGAAATGTCTTTTATTCTTACAATTCTTTACTGCTATGACTTGAAATTTTTACTAACACTTTGAAGTGGAGATGAGATTAGGCTAGAAGTCCATTAAAATGTATTGACTGCCTTTATAGAAAAAAAAAATACAATTTTAATAGAAGCTGTTTTCGATGTTGCCTATAAAGGGAGCATGGATGTCTACATCACAAGTAGGCACCATTTATATGGTTTTTGCCTCTACTTCTGAAGCCATAGAGTATCTTTCATGTTTCTAATACAGAGCATGATGTTATATCCTAGAGACTTAATCAAAACTTTGACTTTTACAAGTATTCATTCTACAAGAATGAGAGAAGAAAGATATAGTAATTTGTAACTCTTAGATAAGTTTTATGGAACATAGAACCATTCAGACGGTATTGGGTAGTTTCTTCTGCTGCCTAAAGAGTGAAGATGTACAAGCTTCTCAAAGAAAAGTTCAGAAATATATTTTCTAATAAAAATACTAGGCATCTTCAGTGTAGTGTAGGGACCCACCACAAGTGATTTCTGTAACTGAATTTCTGCAGCAGAATTCAGAAGTCTATCATCAGGAGCTTGCTCAAGGTTTGACTGCCTTGGAAATTTACTCAAGTAGTTGTTACAGAATGTATACACTCGTGCTGATGCTTCTGTCTCAAGAGTTATGTTTCTTTTTCATGGATAGAGAAAAGCACCTTTATCTTAAACCACCTATTGAATAAATTTTCAAACATAGACAAACCTTTATAATACAGAATTTAAGAGTCAAGTCCCTATACTGGGGATTAAAAGTGCCTGAGACTGTTCTCTGTCCCTGGGTCCAACTGGTGTGAATCGTTGCAGTCCATGCTGTTAAAATCTCATTCTGTGAAACAGGCTGGCTGCAGTCCTTAGTGCCTATCAGTTTTTCAGCCACGCCTAGGGGTTATTTAGGAAAGTGCTTTGGGCTCACAATTTAAGCAGTATACGCTGGTCCCAGAGCATTTCTTAACCATTCTTACTAATATACTAATTTGAAGGTATCCTATAAAAAAGCTGGAATTTACTCTGGTAAAACATTAAAAGATTTTGTTAAGCAAAGGAGAAAATTCAAGATCCCTTCTTGTTTCCTTTCTGAAATGCATTGCAGAAAGGCATGTAGCCAAACTTTGTTCCCAAGTATTTAATATTTTCAAAAGTTCGTATCTTTTATGGGTGTTTATTTACTTTGCTTACCACATCTGTAAGGCAGAGATTATTCTGATGTTAGTTCATACACAGAACTTCTTACAAGCAATGACTGATAAAAAAAATAGTGTGTGTCATTGAAATAGTTCATTAGAAACTTTTCTTACTCTTTAATATCACTCCTACTCATACAGGTTCATTTACATATTTCCTCCCAGCATTTCTGACACATTAATATTGTGGCTTCTTTTACAGAACAGTGAATACAAAAAAGAGGAGACGATTCAAGAAGAAATGAGCGATCAGCATGTCAGGTAAATTCAGAGATTTAAAATAAGTATATACTGTATGGTATCTACTAAGATTCAATCACCACCAAAATAATAAGCATGAATTCTTGATCTCAGATATTTAGGGTGAATATAATTTTTTTCATAGGCCCTTTGTACAATACTATAGCAATTAAAAAAAATAATCTGCGTTTTGCCTCTTAAGAGGATTCGTATAAAAATGTATATATTTGTATTCGAATTATATTTTTCTACCCAGGATAGCAAGAGATATTTTGCAGTCCGTGCCAACTACATATATATTAATCTGGGCATTTAGTTTGGGAGGCAGAAATGCTGTATTGTACCATCTGGAAATTCACTATGCAGTCATGTTGTCACGTGTAAGGTTCATAATGAACTACACAGGACTGACATAGGTCCAGGTCATCCCCAGAAGGATCAGTAAAATTTCAGGATGATATTTCTAAGTTTTATTACTAGCAAATATAAAATCTTACAGGAGTTCTCTATGTATTCTAGTTCTTTCTGTATTCTTTAATGTTTCAGCCGTGTGAAATTCCTAGACAAATTTCTGAAGTATAACTTTCTGGGTATGTTGTCAGTCACAACTCTCATTCTTAAACCCTAGTTTAGCTTCCCAGCTAAATAGAAAACTGGCATGCTGGCTGCTGGGGACACTGACAGAGATAGTGAAGTCACTACCACTATTGGACAAGTATTACTACTGTTTCTTAAGCATGGGACAGATCAGTTTAGTCACAGTGACTTTGTTGTTCTGGAAGTGTATTCATGTACAAAAGAAAAAATTAAATATTTCAGAATAAATATGTTGGGGTGCTTCCTAGCAGCAGCACTCGACTGTGTCAAGCAGTGCGGAATATACAGGTTATATTTTGAAGCTGTTGCTGATGGGGTGTTGTGAGGGAGTCATTGCTTGTGCATAGCTGGGAAAAGGAGTTAGCCATTTCTGAATGACAAGGAAGGCAATATGGTTTATTGGGATGTCCCAAAACCCTGGTTCAGCCTCAAGCACTGTCAATGTTAAATCATTCTGACATGTTATGAGTTAATTTTTATTTTTATTGTTGCCTTTTCTTATGTTTGTCAGTCCCAACAGCAGTATATATGACTATCCTCTTGAGTAAGAGTAAGTCAGAACATTCTCTTCTTGAATTCCAATACTCTACTTAAAAATAACCAAATAAATTGTTAAGGAGCAGAAATGGTTGTTGATTTTTCTCCTGCTCTCTGACCCTGATTGTATTGTCCTCATAAATAAAACCCCTGAATGAAAGACCAGATTTGAATGTTAGTCTATGGTTTATAGCTTTAGAGCACATGACACCAACCTGTTCTTGACCTCCAGTTTGCCACAGATATTAATACAACTAATAGATGTGTTTTTAATAGGGTTTTTTTCCTCCTTTTTCTTCTGTTTTGATGCAATTATAGGCATTAAATTTGGACAAGGTTCTTAGCTGATTAACCACTTGGCTCTTTCATTATGATTTCGTATCATAAATAGAGATTTATAAAAGTGTTTGTAGAAATATTTGACTTCATTGGAAATTTTCAACTATGTTTTCCCTTTCAGGGAAAAAGACCTATTTTTCTAAAACCAACAAACAAAACCCAGAAAACAAAACCAAAACAAAACTAGTGCTTTCTTCTGAGTTAACCAATAAAATTGATGTTCTCTTTTTCCACAGGACTGTAAAAGATAAAGGAAAACTCATAGAAAAAGAGGAAAAGAACCCAAGACAAGAGGTAAAACTATTTGGTTTTGGAACTTAATGTTGTGTTTTTCTTGGGATTAATAACAATAACAGTATGTATTTCAATATATTACCATTCTAAGATAAGATTTATGTATATTGGTCTTCAGATATGTCCTAACCTCTCTTTCTTGATACAGCATTAGAAAATTCATTTATTCTGCATAAATTTGGTAAACATTGAAGGTACCCATCTATTCAACTGTATTTCAGTATCTTCTATGCTTTAAAAATAATTCTCAGTGAGTGGAAATGCATATTTGTGTAATATAAATCATCTATGAATCATCTACACATACCTAAAGTATATTATTTCTTTCTATAAACAGCTGACGTAGGCAAACAGTATGTAGTGTAAGCCCAGTAAAATGCAGCTAGCAATGTAATTCATATATGTCTCTTAAAACAGTTGCCATAAGTAAAGGAAACATTTATATGTTTAAATGGACAGGTGCAGACAGAACCAAGGTTTCAGCAAGTCTGGACCAGTCTGTGCAGCCAGCCTAACTTTACCAGAAAAAGTTTTAAAATATTTTATCATATTTTCAGCCATTTGTAACCATGCCCCAAAATCCACATTCCATTTTGGAATGTTGTAGGGTTATGGTCCTGATCTAGGAGAAAGTAGGAGTACCTAATGAAGACATCCTTTTCCATATTCTCATGTTATGGGCAGCCATATATCTTTCAGCCATGTATCTTTCAAAACCATACTAATGTCTGTTAAAACCTGTCTATTTTCACGCCAGAAATACTTTTCTTTCAAGGATGTTCTAAGACCTCTGTTGTTCTTTTCTTCCAATTTCTGATACGTTTCCGTTTTTTTTGCTTTAGTGCTAGCATTTAGCTCAAATAGATATTTGGAAGAAATTCTTTACTGTAAGGGTGGTGAGGCACTGGAACAGGTTGCCCAGAGAAGTTGTGGATGCCCCATCCCTGGAAGTGTTCAAGGCCAGGTTGGATGGGGCTTTGGGCAACCTGGTCTAGTGGAGGGTGTCTCTGGCTCTGGCAGGGAGGTTGGGACTAGATGGTCTTTAAGGTCCCTTCCAACCCAAACCATTCAATGATTCTGTGATTGATCTGAGAAATGGCAAAAAGTGGCAACCAGAAAGACAGAAGTGCTGTGGTCCTAGTTTTAGGAGTCTGAGGACTTTGAAAAATAAGGTATCCATAGGAGCTGTTTACTCCTATATAATGTCCTTAATACTCTTGAAATTACTGTATTCTGTGGAAACTAGGTGGCTCTAGCTCGTGAATAGTCATGAAAGGATCAAAAGTGTGCCTAACTTGGCATTTGACAACCAGCTGCTATCCTTTGGTGGTAAACGTAGAAGCAGGTAATAGGTGTGCTATTATGCTAGATAATTTTCATAAAACCTCACACTTCCATTTTGAAATCTGTTGAACTCCCTTACACATGGATAATGAAGACACTATTGAAGGATAATTGAAGACGCTATTGAAGGAAAAGCCCGACTAAAGATTGGATAGTTTGGTGTGTGTCATTTTAAGCTTTATGTTTCTTTTGCATATATGTTGGGTGATTGAATGGCATTATTTTAATCAAGTTCAATAAGCTAGAGAAAGGCAATTTCTTTGAA